GGACGGTCCCAAACACATCAACAAATGGATACGATGGCCAGAATGCTCTAATCTATGAGGAACCAGGGGTTCTCCCGTTGTAATTGTTTCTGGATATGCATATATCACGCAAGCACCCATCATATATAAGTGCTTCTATATGCATCTTTTTTCCCGTGTTCATGTTTCATAACAAGATTCTTTTTCGTATGTACAAGTATATCATGCACGCGCATGGGATAACTCATAATGCAACACAACAATTAATAATGCAATTTGGTAGAGCTTCCCGAGAAGATTTTCCATAAGAAAATTGTCCCAAGTTTAAAAAATATAATTATTCGTGTTTCCGTTTTTCGGTTAATGTACCAGTCATAAAAGTTAGCTCAATATCATAGGTCCTTCTGTCTCCCACACTACATATGTCTCGCATTAACCGCAGAAAATTAGTAGTACACCATGGTCAGTGGATAACACATGAAATAGCGGAGGTAGGAATAAAATAGAAAAGTTGCAAACCAAACACTCCATACATTCCTTGGCAGTTTTGCAGAAATGATTTAACTGAAAGCACAATTCTTTTTCATGTTAAAAGATTATACTTATTCGGCAAAAGAATACCACGGAAGCGGATCCTCTAACATCCTGAAGGGATGTCACGTAAGCTACAGTAACCGTGACATCCCTTCTTCACATCCATATGGTTAAGCCTAAAATGATTATAATTAATTTGCAAATCACAAATCTACTATATACATTTACAAAAGTTACATACAAAGAAAATTATGGTGCAACCCTAAAAAAAATTATGGTGCAATAAAATTATTTTTTGATTTTTTTTTACATGCTACAATAAATCCACACGATGATTGTTACAGCATTCATTGTAGCTAGTGACATCTCTTCTTCATTTTACATACATATGTCACTGTAGCTTCGTGACATTCCTTCAGAATGTTAGAGGATCCATTTCCGTAAGACCAATACCACTGCGAGTGCCGGTGCGGCACAGCTCAAGTCACAGAACGTTGTGCGTGCTTCCTCCTCACCCGGCTCCACGCGTCGCGAGCGACCGAGTCCAACACGGCCAACCCCACACGCACGCACGCTGCTTTTGAACGGGCTCCCCTCGCCGATCATCGGTCCAGGTTATAATGATGGCTCATGTCACGTATGCGTGCCGATGGAGGACGAATATCCCGAGCCATGCCTTGCATGCCTCGCGCGCCAAAAGTTTTCCTTTCCCTCGACGCGTACGCCTCTGACGAACGGCTCCCTTGCGCGCGGCGCACGTCGGTACGTGGTGTTGTAACAAACAAACAAAAATTTCCTTTGGGGACGGCGGCGGTCTGGTCGTGCTGGCTCGATCGATCGCCGCCTTTTTGACGGAGTCCGGCCACCTGAGCGTGTCCTACTCACGAGGTACGGTAAAGTTGCACTCCCCCTATGTCGGCTCAAGTGGTTTTCTCTCAATTTCGGCCGATCTTGCAGACCACGAGGGGAAGCAAGATGATTACGGGGAGCGAGAGTGATTTGGACTGATCGGTCGATCCGCCGAGACGATTAGGAAAGAAAGATCACTACTGCTGCCAGTAGTTTACAGAAGCAGTCGTGAACGTTGGTGATGAGGCACTTCCACATTGCTAGATAACTTGTGTAGATTGTAGTACTCCCTGGCGAAGGACAGGTCAGAAGTTTTGAGGCGTGTATCCTACCAAGGAAAGCATTACTTTACCTTTTTTTTCTACTAATGACGGCAGCCTTTTTTTTCGAGTAAATTACGGCAGCCTTTGCTACAAGCACAACAGCTACAAGCCAACAAATACTCCCTCCAAAGTTGCACTAGAGCTGCGAGAATTAATTTGAATCGGGGGAGTAATATTTTTCTTTCTTTCTAAAATGTCTTAGTGAGCCGGTACTCAAAGATCCCAGGTGGTTATTGATTTCATACACTCAGCTCACGTGATCTCTTAATTTTGAACCTTTTGGAATGCATGTGAGATTGAAGTTTCAAAATTTTCAACCCCACTCCCACGCATGAATTGCAAGACTTCCACGAACAAATAAGTTCATTTTAGCCTATGCTAAAAGCCAAACAGAGTAGGAAAAAATCACCTACATCTTCTCTTTTTATTGTCATTTTGCACATGCAACCGAATGTAATTTGCATGAAACTTAACAACTGCATGTCATACTCACTTGCATGTATTGTTCTAATTTTAGATTTCTATGAAAATGTGTAATATTTTCCTAGATGGTCTCCACTGACCTTCCGTGGCGTAGCCAGGATTTTAAGCCAGGGAGGTGCGATTAACACAAACCTGGAAGTAGAAAACTTTGCAGTTACACTTGCACGTTTGGATGCTCTTC